ATGCAAAACCCCCATGTGTTAATCCTAAAGACCAAATACCCCCCTTGGGGTAAAAAAAAAAAAAGTGGCAAAAATCCCCCTGATAAGTGTTCAAACAAGCATACTCGATCCATTTATTTTATCCGTTGACCGCTTGTGAAAAGACGAATAAACCCTCTGATAAATCTGTCCAACCTCTAAAATTTTATGCCCAAATAAAGTTTTTAAAATTTTCGATTCAGTTCTTAATATTTTCAATTAAGCCCTATTCCCCAAATTAAGAAAAACACACAGACACACAAATACACACACTTTGATTTTAATTCTCTGCGCTCCTCACCTCACCCCACCCCAACACCGCCGGCTCCGTTCATGGACTAAAACCCCTTTCCGGCAACCAAGCTTCTCAACCCCTAACAACAACGAATTCCCTCTCAACTCAAAATTTCTTACAAAATTATTCCAAGAAAAACAAAAATTCAAAGTCATGATCAACAATTTTGACGCCATTACACGTCGTCCCGCAACAATAAACCTTCTTGTCTCCTCAACAAAACAGTCACTCAATTCCAGATTTCTCCACCCATTTTCCCGGGGCCAACCATTCCTTCGGTTTCCCCAAAACTGAATCTTACCTCCAGTTATGCATTCCAATTTTGCCATTGTCGTGGTTATTGTACTACATTTTTTGAGGTTTCCGGCGAACCGGCGGCCTTGGCAGGAGGAAAGGTGGGCGGGGGTGGGGCCGTTTGGGTCCTTGGAAGAAGATGATGAAGTGGCTGTGTATGCCATTTTCATTTTTTTTCTTTTTGAATCTGTTTAAATATAATTTATATTTTTTCCATCTTATTTGTTTAAATTTAAATATTATTAAAAATTCATGTGTAGTTTAATTGTTTAATGAGTATTGATTCAGAGGGGCAATTTTGTCCTTTCACGCACAAAATATACAAAAATCGCACAAGTAGTCGAACACATAGCGAGTGAATGACACGCACAAAGGTTGGGGGTGTATGGCTTTGACTATTGATTACAAGGGGATTTTTGCCACTTATTTTATCCAGGGGGTTTTTGGTCTTTAGGATTAACACATGGGGAGTTTTTGCATTTAACTCATTTTAAAATACATGTAAACACAAAGTACTATAAGTATTTCAATATCACAAAGAAAGTAAAACGTAAAACATAAAGTTTTTCTACATTCACATTGAGTGCAAAAGTCAATCACCAGAAAGCAAGGGAAGATGCGCTTCACAAATAATGCATAATGTCAGTCACAAAAACTGTAAAAGCATAAGAGTTACATTTCAAAAATTACGTTCAAATTTTTCAATCATGAGAAAAAAATTTCAGTAGGCAAATACGTTTTGCCCAGATCAACATGGTTAAACTAAGATGGCATTTTCAAGGTCAATGACCATTTTTTCAACATCATCTCTAATAAAACAAAACTTTACATCAATATGTTTTATTATATCAAGCAAAACATGGATTTTTTCACAACAGTAGACTGGATTGACTACAGAAAGCACAACCACTTTGCTTTTTAGGAAACCAATTTCAGAAAGTATACATTTAAGCGAAATTGTTGCTTTTATAGCTTCGGTAGCATCTATATACTCAAGACGCATTAGTAGAAAAGGCCACAATATATTAAAGTTAGGATTTACAGCTAACACAGGCACCATTTAAGGTAAATACATAACAAATGGAATATTTCCTATTGTCCACATCATTGGAAAAATTTGAATCCACATAACCACAAAGTGCAACAACATTTTTACACTTAGAAAACAACAAACTAGTTTTCGTAGTGCCTTTCAAGTATCTCAACAACTATTTTAGAGCCTCCCAATGAGGCAAGCCAAAATTAGACATGTATCTACTTAAGCAACACACAAAACATGCAATGTCACTAGGCCAAAATGCAACACAAGCGACGAATTATTTTGCGATGTTTTTGGTTTCGTTGCATATTTGTGACTTTTGTTTACCAAAAACGTCTTAATACGCTAAAATGTCAACTAAAGTAAAAACTTTTGTGACAATTCACCGATTTCGAAGATTACATGAGAAGGTAGAATTCAAACCCAATAATATTAATGATTATGACCAAGTTTTACAACAGTGGGACATAAAGTCAACAAGATAAGTTGTTGAGCTGTAGTACAGCTCAATCTTCCAATCCAATATTTACACTAACACCATCAGAGTATCATCGAAAAACTGATCTTCAAACATATTCTCTCTCTCTCACGCTCAGATTCACCCAAAAAAACCCACAGAGGGAAGCACAAATCTAAGAACGTACATAATCTCACGCCCTCACCAAAGTGTCCCAAATATCACATAATAGAAGGATTTAGGTTTTAGATCAAGCATAAGATTTGTATCTTGTCTTAACTGCCTCCCCTCAGTTCCCCACTTATAAATACGACTCAAGTTAAAAGTAGCGATTGAGGTATTACCATAGAGTCAAAGTCCGTCCAGAACGGCGGCATTTGACGCACGATTGAAAAAGTCTTAGAGCATAATAGAGAAAGAAGACAGAAAAGACGGATAAATAGAAGACAGGGATTCAAATAGGAGAGAAGATAGAGTACTTAAATGAGAGATGAAGGGACAAAATTAAAGAACCTTGATCCATTGGATGAGATCACTTTCCAAATTCTTCCACAATAACTCTCATAAAATACACTGTTGGGCATCCATGATAATAGACAGTTATCGGAGAAATGAGACTCAAGGCCCATCAGATTATATGGGCCAAAAACACAACAGATTCGCGATGCATCCACGCACAATTGACGTATTATCTGCTACTGTAAAAACGAAGAATTAAAACACTCATCAAATTCTATGATTATATTTGTAATATATATCAGTAAAGTAGGGAAAATGGCTAAAGAAATTCCTATGTGATGCTGCTCCAAAATGTTGGGTCAACCCAATGGTCTTGAAGTCCGTCTTCTAAGTCCGGGAATCTCCAAACCCAATATCAAGAATGCCAAGAGTCCTTGCCACGCGTCTGAGGTAGTCAAAGGGACGGCTTCACTTGTTAACCTGTAAAACAGTTGAAAGCACTAGGTGACACACGGGGGGTGGCCCGACGATTGTCCTCCGACGCTCAAGTCATAAGACTATCATAATATAAACAATTAATATTAATTAATTGCCTAAATAGTGCGTACCTTATTATGTGAATGATAACACATATTTATAGGTTGAGTTTGATGTGGTTTTCTTGTTAAAAACCAATGTGGGACAAGTTGAATGTAATTAAGAGTGTTAATTGGATTTTTCCTCTAGATGGGCCAATTTGAGCATCTTGGGCCTAACTCCAATTATACAATATCATTAAGCCCCCCACTCCCAGGTTGGGCCACGACCTCGTGGACCTGCCTGGGAGTAACTAAGAAATAGTCTCTTGAATACGTAATTTTTTTCTTTTTGTTGGAGTTTCAAAGTAGTCGAATAGTTGACTACATAGATCTTGCATAGGCTGAATTGACGGCGCGTGCTAGAGTTTTGGGCGGCGGAAATTTCCAAGTCTCGGGGCGAGTTGGTTGAATTTCCATACGTTTTTTTTTTCTTTTTTTGAGGTGGTGTGGGCGTAACTCCCGAGGTCAGATTCGAACGAATGGTGATGAGAATATCAAGGGCCGATGTGTTATTGTTGGTTGCTCACACTTCGAGGGTAGATGTTTGGTGGCTAGAAGCGCCAAGTTTGAGAGCAAAGTTTGGGAGCTTATGAAATTGGCATGCTCCTCGAGGACGTCGATTTGCTGCAGGGCACGGCTTGATGCTTGAGTATGCGGCGAAATTGTACGTTCGGGCCTCACGACTCAGAGTACATTGAAGTTTTGTCGAAAAACTTACGGGGCTTCAATGTTCCTGTGGCGTTTTAATGAATTCGAGATTTGTGGCGTTTTAATGAATTCGAGATTTTTTAAGATATGAGAATTTTCAAAATATAGGAAGTTACTAATGGTGGTGTGAAAATTTTGGAGTCAGTTATGACAAATTTGATGGAGTTTGGACTTGTTAGTTGAAAGTTATAAGCAAGAGATTGTGGAGACACAAATTCCCATACACGTGACGGGCAGCCGCGATACGGGAATCGAGGGCGGAACGGAAGCCGTGACTCATGCAGCTTCGGACTCCGTGCGGATGGGTCAGCCTTGGCAAGCGAGTCGACTCGGATGGCGTCTCAACTCGCAAAGCGAAGGCAGAGTAATTTGGGTGCGGCATCAAGCAGTCAACTGTGTGGTTTGAAGAAGGGACCGCGTGATGTCATGCGGCTTGAAATAGAGGCAAGAGGCAACTTGTGGCGTCACTGTTATGCGCTGCCGACTGCCCTCTTTTTTCCTTTCCTTGAATTTTGTTTTTTTATTTTTATACAGAAAGCCAATTTTTTTGAAGAAAATTGCAAGTTAGCATTTCATAAAGTGTGTGCTGGGGCTTGGGCCGTGCACAGAAATTGAGGGAGGGGAGGTATCGTGACGTCACTCAATTTCGAAATCCGTGCACAAGGGTCTTCTTTGGAGAGCGAGTTGACTCGTCTGGATGGGTCAACTCGGGTGGATGGCTCAACTCAGAGAGGTTGGGAGTGTGACAGTCGAGTGGGATGTGACATCAGCAAGAGAGCTGCTGATGTCACGGGCACCAAGGGCAGAAGACGTGAGGTGGGGTTCTGATTAGACACGGCCCCGGGTCGGGCCGGGTCCGGGTCCGGGTCGGACCCGCCGGGTCCGGGTCCTACTTTTTCGGGACCCGAAACCGACCCGCATGAGTCCAGGTCCGGGTCCGGGGCGGGTCCACTCGGGTCCGTCCGGGTCCGGGCCGGGTCCGGGTCCAAACCGGTTCTTGAAAATTTTTTTTTTTTTTTTAATTTTATTTTCACATATAAAAAAAAAAGAAAAAATAAAGATAAATTTAAAGGACTTGAGCTTAGTTTTAAATTCAAAATTATAAATTTTAAATTTAAAACTAAGTTGCCTACGTATCCGGTTTGGAATCAAAGTCCACGTAGTTCTCTTACCTTTACTTACCTTTTTAGTCGTCGCTTGTGCCGCCGGGTGAAGTTGTATTCCCACCTTCTGTAGGAACATATTTATCATCATCGTCGTCGTCTTTGTCGATGTGATCATCTTTGTGTCTGTAGTCGGTTTTCGTCCAATCTCCCAAAAGCATTTGATTTTCGAAATTGTCGGCACCGAGATTGCTTCTTGTTGGATCCAATACTCTACCGGCTACACTAAAGGCGGATTCGACCGCAACAGTGGAGACGGGGCAAGCGAGAACATCCTTGGCAATACGTGCCAAAATTGGAAACGATGAACTTTTTGACTTCCACCACGCTAGTATGTCAAAATCTGTACTTTCTGTGGAATCAAATCTAACGGTTAAATAACTCTCAAGTTCCAATCGTTGATTGGAACTTGAACTTGAGGATGAGGACCTTGGGCGCTTGAAGCGCTCATGCAATAAACGTTGGGCCGCCAACATAGTAGATGTATCCGTTGTTGAAGTAGGATTGTTATTTGGAACATTAGATGTTCCAGATATACTAGCATATTCATCATAAAGTTGATTTAATAATGTAGTCGAGGTGCTAACAAGAGTAGGTACGTTAGGAAGTGGAGGGCAATCAATCAATGATATATCCTTAGACAAATTATCGTAATATAATTGTAGCATATCAGGTAATAGATCAAGCCTAAGTCTAGGATCTAAAATTGTAGCAACCAAATATAGTTCAGGAATATTCATATAATATTTGCAGAATTTTTTCTTAATTTCATTCAGACAAGGAACTAAAATTTCAATTTGCATAGCTTCGTTAATAACACCGGCAATATTGCATAACTGATAAACAACTAAATGAGCAGTAGGATAATAAGTACCAGATAATAAATCAGAACTTTCGGAAAAAATGCTTAAAACATTACAAATTTTCAAGCATGTATCCCATTCAGATGGTAAAATATAAATTCCAGCCTTAGGAAATTCTGTTTGAAAAAATTGACATAATAAGTCTTTATATGCAAAATGACCAGTATTCATAACAGGAAAACCAATTATTTTTTTTTCAAGTTTCCATGCACGATTGATCCAATGACATGTGACACCCATATAGTCATTACGACCCCAATGATCACTCCAAATATCAGAACAAATGGAAACTTTGTTGTCTAGCATAAGAAATTCTTGTACTAATTCAAGTTTAAGTCGAGAAACCAAATTTTTTGTAGTTCGAGTAGTTGTAGTTTTTGGTTGACGAGAACAACTAGGTCCATACATGTTTTTAAAACGGTCTATAAGACAATCATTATCAGCAAAACTAAATGAAAGTGATGCTACTGAAATAACTCTAGCCCATTCTTCTCTTTCTACAATTTTTGAAAATTTAAAAAGTTGAGAATCGGTACCTTCCTGTGAAGAATTAAATCGTATTTGTGTTTGAGTTTTGTCGCGACCGAATTCCGTCGGATGTTTGGTAAACAAGTGCTTACGAAAGGTCCCATGCCCATCGCCCTTTTTCCACGCGTATGATTTAGGTGCACCCGATATATTAAATTAAAAAACTATTAATACATTTGCTAAATTAAATAGACAAATAAATAAAAAATAAAAAACTTGCAAAAATAAATACCTTGCAATAATTGCAAAACGCTTGAATGCTCCCGTCCGCCATAACCGCTCTAGTAAAATGGACACGAAACAATTCGGATTTTGTTTCCGTATCATTAATTTGGGATCCTCCACCGAGTGATGATTGAGACGGCGTAGAAGATGGCGTTGGAGATGGCCTAGAAGCCCTTGATCGCCTTGGCCTAGGTGGCACTCCGGTCGGTTGGCTAGGAGGCGGTACCTCGGTCGGCTCATCATCACTACTAATACTATCAAGTACATTTTGAAAATCGATAGTGTGAGATTCGAGTTCGGGAATTGATTGGTTTTGCCAATCATCGGAACAATCCCACTCCAATTCGGGAGGGATTACTCCTTTTCCCGTTCCACGATTACCACTTGAAGACATTTTTTTTTAGAGTAACGAAAACAAAAACCGAAAAGAGAGTAGAGAATGCTTGCAAATTTAACCGAAAATAAAAACCACTTGAGATTTGAGAATTGAGAGATTAGAGAGAATTGTGAGTGAATTGGTGAGAAAATTGATAGGGGGATGAAGGGTATTTATAGGTAAAAAAATGTGAAAAAAAAAAAAATATTAATTAGACCGGTCGGGTCCGGTTCGGACCCGAGTTTATAGCCGTTGAAATAAAAAAAAAAAAAAAAAAAAATTTTAATTTCCGGGTCGGGTCTGGGTGGACCCGAGTTTATAGCCGTTGAAATTAAAAAAAAAAAAAAAAATTGAAATTTTCGGTTCGGGTCCGGTTCGGGTCCGGTTCGGGTCCGGGTCGGGTCCGGGTGGACCCTAGTTTATAGCCGTTGTAATTTAAAAAAAAAAAAATTGAAATTTTCGGGTGGACCCCAGTTTTATAGCCGTTGTAATTTAAAAAAAAAAATAAAATTTTTGAATTCCCGGACCGGGTCCGGTTTATAGCCGGTGTATTTTTAAAATTTTGAAAAAAAAATATTTTTTTATTCGGGTGGACCCGACGGGTCCTCGGGTCGGGTCCTCGGGTCCACCCGCCGGGTGGACCCGTCGGGTCTCGGGTCCTAAATATCGGGACCCGAAACCGACCCATACATTTTCGGGTCCGGGTCCATGGTCAACGGGGCGGGGCCGGGGCGGGTCGGGTCGGTCGCCGGGTCGGGTCCGGGTCAGACCCGACCCGTGGCCATGTCTAGTTCTGATGCCTTCCTGCTCCCCCCCCCCCCCCCCTCTTTTTGTTTAAACCGTATGCCTCTTCATTTCTTTATTCCAGTTTATTATTTTATTATATTATATTATACAATAAAATAATATATATATATATATATATATATATATATATATATATATATATATATATATATATATATATATATAATTTTATTATTCATTTATCTCTTTTTTTTCGGAAAAAATTGCCAATGGCTAATTTGTTTAGGAGAAAATGCTTCGAGACTTTGTGAATTGGGAGTCCGTTTCTCATCAAGAACTAGAACTTAATATATCTTCTTTAGTGGGTGATATCTCTTGGCTTTATTGCCTAGTGGGACTCGCGCATTTCCTAAAGAATGAGTTATGATTCAACTTTTCCGGCGAGACGGTATCCCTTGGCTATATCGCCTAGTGGGGGGTGGTCCGTCTTTCGTAAATAATGAGCTCTACATTATCTTTTTAACGGGGCGAAATCCCTCGGCTTTATTCCTAGTGGGAAGCACACATTTCGTAAAGAATGAGTTTTGCTTCATCTTTTCCGGTGAGACGGTATCCCTTGGCTATATTGCCTATTGAGAGGTTCGGCTCTCGTAAAGAATGAGCTTTACTTTATCTTTTTAGGTAAGAAGGTATCCGTTGGCTTTATCGCCTAATGGAAAGTCCGTATTTTTGTAAAGAATGAGTTATGCTTCATCTTTCCGGTGAGACGGTATCCCTTGGCTATATTGCCTATTGAGAGGTTCGGCTCTCGTAAAGAATGAGCTTTACTTTATCTTTTTAGGTAAGACGGTATCCGTTGGATTTATCGCCTAGTGGAAAGTCGTATTTTTGTACTTGGTGGTTGATCAGACCCTCAAGTTTTTTATGCAGGAAGTCAACCCTCTGCCCAAGTTTTCTATTTGAACTTCTTATGGCGGGTCGGACTCCATTGAGCTTTAGTTGCTCTATTTTTTTATTTTTTATTTATTTTTATTTTTTTGGAGCTTTGGGAGCGAGAAATCAAGGTTCGAGTTGGCCAGACCCTTTGTGATCCCTGATATCTTCCCCTTTAGCTATTTTTTGAGTCTATTGATTTTTTGTTAAACGCGTGGAGAAGACATATGGTTAATGTAGAAATCGCGGCGGTGGTATTCCACCGACTAAAATAGTTTATGAAGAATCATGCGTCTGGCGGTATGCCCCCGATTTATTACATAATTGAGAATATTGTGCGGGGCGGTGTGCCACCGACTTATTGGTGAAAATAAATTACACGGGCCCCGCGTGGGGCGATAATAGATACTAAGTAAAGTATTTCTTCAGGATTGCGATTGTTCTAGGAATTCTCTCAAGTGCCTGTTTTGGATAAGTCTTCCGAGTGCTCGCTTAAGCTGAAAGCACTCTTCAGTAGTGTGACCCGGATCATTGTGGTATTCCCAGTAGTCATCCAAATTTTGTCTTTTCGGATTCTCTTTTATCCTTCTCGGTAGTTGTAGAATACCCTTCTGTTCAGCGATGATCATCATGTCAACAAGCTTATCCTTGAGAGGTGAGAACTTCTCGATGGTGCGATTTTTGGCGGGTCGCCTCTCTTCTTATCTAATATAGTTGTGGCTTTCCTCGTCGCACTTTCGATTAACGGGTACACTCATCTCTGCATTCTCCTCAATCCAAACGTACTTCTCAGCGCGGTTCAGGAGCTCTTCTAAGGTTATAGGGGGTCGGCCTGCGATGGATTCTTAAAAACGAACATGCTTCAAATTGTGTTGCAGTATGCCGGCTAACATTTCGTGATTAAGGTGGGGCACTTCATGTACTGCTTTGTTCTCGCTGTATGACCTTGAAGAGATACGATCCAGTTTTGGCGTATTTTTTATTTATAGAGTATTGTCTATGGACCCTCCGGGCAACCCGTTGAACCAAATTTGTGCCTGATCAGTTAGCGTGGTTTGAAAAATTCTTGCAGTAAGCTACGTTACTAAGGCCGCAGAGGTCAATCTTGGCGTAAAAATTATTTAAGTGATCTTGAGGATCCCCGGTTCCATCGAATTGGGGGAGATTGGGGGTCCTAAATCCGAGAGGAAATACTTCTTCCATAATAGTCGGAATAAATGGGCTAATTCGGGTGGTGAATGCTTCAAAGCGAGCGACCGTTGGCCTCGAAGCTTCTCGTCGTGGGCTCCTTGAGTTACGGTCATCGAAGCCCTCGTGTCGCCTTCTCGTCTCTTCAGGTCGGGAATATCTATTTCCATGTTCGTTTCGAAGGGAGTTTCCACGGCTAAAGGAACGTATGCGGTACTTTTTGTCTCGGGACTCGTGGCATGGATCGCCTGGCCAAGAAGAAATACTTCTCTCTTGACGGTTATGCGCTGCTCTCTCCCTTGAATGAGCCCTTTGCCTCACAGGGCGTGTTGATCTAGGATGTGCTTCCTTTCGAGGGGGGCGGTCCGAGGATGGGTCGCGCTGAATCGATTGGCGGTGAACGTATCCTCGAGGGGCTCGTTCAGAGGAGAAGCTCCGGTCGCTGAGTGTCACTTTCTCCTCTGAGTCGTAAAGTTCCACAATCGGTGGGGTGGATTGGATATGGATGGAATTCGAAAGATCGTTTTCTGTTGGAGTTGGCTCTTGGAAGTCGGCTCCGCCTCGAGTAGTAACGTACTGCGCCACCGCCTCTGTCGCTGCCCAAGTTGCTGCATTGGCTGCCGTTTCATCCATCATGTCTTGCAACTCCTCCGCCGACATCTGAACGACCGGCTCTGAATACTTCATTGGGTGGGCCGCTCATGTAATCCTTTTCCTTCGAGGCAGCTCTGGGAATCCACCGCTACCTTGGGATGGTTGGTTGGAATCGCCTTGACCACCTTCATTAGTTGTTGCCGTAGTTCTTTTCCTTTGAGGCGGCTCTGGGACTCTACCGCTACCTTGAGGCGGTTGGTTGGAATAGCCTTGACCACCTTTGTTATCTGCTCCCGTAGTACTATTACTTCGAGGCAGCTCTGGGACTTTGCCGCTACCTCGAGGCGGCTGGATGACATCGCCTTGACCACCTACATTTGTGATACGCGATCTAGTTTGCATCCACAGACGGCGCCAAAGAGATGCTGCTCCAAAATGTTGGGTCAACCCAATGGTCTTGAAGCCCGTCTTCTAAGTCCGGAAATCTCCAAACCCAATATCAGGAATGCTAAGAGTCCTAGCCACGCGTCTGAGGTAGTCAAAGGGACGACTTCACTTGTTAACCTGTAAAACAGTTGAAAACACTAGGTGACACGCCGGGGGTGGCCCGGCGATTGTCCTCCGACGCTCAAGTCAGAAGACTATCACAATATAAACAATTAATATTAATTAATTGCCTAAATAGTGCGTACCTTATTATGTGAATGATAACACATATTTATAGGTTGAGTTTGATGTGATTTTCTTGTTAAAAACCAATGTGAGACAAATTAAATGTAATTAAGAGTGTAATTGGATTTTTCCTCAAAATAGGCCAATTTGAGCATGTAGGCCTAACTCCAATTATACACATCACTCTGATAGTATCTATCAGCAATTAAAAAAAATGGAAAACTCTTCAGATCTGACCTTTGACCTATAAATAAAATCCTCATTTTTCTCATCTTTCAAAATGATCCAACTATCTGGAAATCATCTTAGGAAAATTAAAATTATATAGAAATTAAACAATACTAGCATTTTCTTCCCATGTGATGCACGGAATCGAATTTTAAAAGTGGAAAATTGATCAATTTAACAAATATTGATGAAAAATAGGAGATTGAAGCCAGAACGATTATTCACGGTTCAATGTCAATTTTAATAATTGTTGAAAATATAATTAGAAAGTTAGTATAAACAAATATTAAAAATAAATAATTACAAAAATGTCATTAGGGTTTTTTATGGTTGCCCAGCGCACGGAATGGGATTTTAAAAGTGAAAAAAATCGACCAATTTAACAAATATTGATGAAAAATAGGAGATTGAAGCCCGAACGATTATTCACGGTTCAGTGTCAATTTTGATAATTGTTGACAATATAATTAGAAAATTGGTATAAACAAATATTAAAAATAAATAATTACAAAAATGCCATTAGGGCTTCTTAGGGTTGCCTAATGTTTCTTTCTTTTATATGTAAGATACACTGCCTGACCTGACTTTTAAAGGATCAATAACTGCTTCGTAAATGAATTATAATTAATTATAGACCAAATGTAATTTTGATTAATCCAATAGATTACAAGTATGATTCCATAA